AGTTATGATAATTTTATAAATCAATTTTGTTCCAATAGTAATTTTAAAATTAACTCTTTTTCTTTTCTACATCTAAATTGTCGGAGTGTTACTAATAAACTGTCAGATTTACAAATTTTGATTAAATCATTTTCTAACATATTTCATTTCATTATTGTTTCTGAAACCTGGTTAAATGACGTTACATGTAAATTAGTTAATATTGATTCCTACAATTTTGCTTGTAAAAATAGAACAGGCGGAATTGGAGGAGGTGTAGGTATTTTTATTAGAAAAGACATTCCTTTTTGTAACTAATTTAATATCGATATTTGATGATGATCTTTCAGATAGTTTATGTATTAATGTTACTTGCAACTATTTTAAGGGTACAATTTTAGGCATATATCGACCTCCTGCTTCTTCCTTCGATGCTTTTTTAAGACATCTGGAATGTATTTTGGATAGGCTTAAACCTACAACGGATATTTACCTTGTTGGTGACATCAATGTTTACCTATCTAAATGCACTACTCAAAGTATGGCAATTAAAAATTTACTAGCAACTTACAATATTTCCTCGACGATTGAATTACCTACACGAGTAACAAATACATCAGCCACTCTAATTGACCACATCTTTAGTAATAGTTCTTTACCACATACAGCTGGTATTCTTTTATCTGATTTTTCGGACCATTATCCAATATTTTCATTCTTCAATAGCACAATTTGTCCTCTCAGCCACCTGGTATCTTAGGTACTCGTCATTTCACTACTAAAACTTTTGACATTATCAATAAAATTTTATCCATGACCAAATGGGATGATGTACTTGGATCTGAAAACGTTGAGGTATCCTGTCTGTCTTTCTATAATCACTTTAACTCTATAATTGATAGATATGCTCCAATCAAGGTAATTAACAACAACAAGCACAAAGGATGGATTACCAGGGACATCATAAAAGCCTCTAGAATAAAAAATAAACTATTTAAAAAATGTATTTTGAATCCCACACCTTCTAATCTAAAGATATATAAATACCACCGCAATCGTTTCACTAGTGTTATAAGAAAGGCTGAGCGTAACTATTATAGTAATATATTTTCTAACAATGACTCAAAATTTAAATGGAAGTTCATTAATTCGTTGCTTAATAATGCCTCTTCTCATAATATTTCTCAATTAATGATTGATGATAACGTTGTTACTAACAATTTGACAATTTCTATTGAATTCTTCTTCTTTTTCTTCTGCAGTTTTACGGCGTTTTAGCTCTGATAGTCTTTGTTGATTCTATTTTCTTTTGTGGATCTTCATTGACCCGTGAGGCAATTAAATGTTGTTGAACATGTTTATTTCTTTAATGAATGATAACAGGTTTTGTAATTTTTCATCTTTGAAAATTGATCGGATATCATTTGGTATTTGATGTTTTTTCCTGATTTCATTGTAATTTTGACATTCTATCAATATATGTTGGATTGTTAATTTTGTATCACAGTTCTCGCAAATAGGAGGGTTTGTTTTGTTGAGAATCCATGAATGAGTTATTTTAGAATGACCGAGTTTTAATCTATTTATGATGTTTAAATTGTTTCTACTAAGTTCGTTGATTTTGGTGTTTTGTGAACTATTTAGTTCTGGCATAACTATTTTGAGGAAGTTAGTTATTTTATCCCATTCTTTTTGCCATTTGGAACATATGAGGTCGTTTGTCATCACTCTTATGTCGTAATATGGAATTGGAATGTTTGATGGGGGATCCAAGTGCGCTTGTGCTGCCAATTGATCTACCCTTTCATTTCCTTCAATACCAATGTGGCTAGGAATCCAGATTAATGAAATATGATTTTTATTGCTTATTATATCATGTATTTTGTTTTGGATCTGAAGAATTAATTGATGGCGGGGATAGTACTGTTTCAATGCTAGGAGAGTTGACAACGAATCTGTGAATATCTGATAGTTTTTTCCTGTTGAATTGTATATGGAGGATAATGCCATGTCTATCGCTGTTATTTCCGCTGTGTATATTGAGGTGTAGTTTGGAAGATGCTGAGTACGACTGTTGGTAAATTGGTAATGAATCTGATGATTTGAAAAAGCAGGAGCTAACAATTCTTTGTTGCAAAACTCATTCAGGTTCAAATATTAATTAATGATTTTTACAGACGCTCCTACACTCATTCATTCACTCATTTATTTATGTATGTATTTATTCATTTATTGTTTCACCAAGTTATTTATTCCGTAATTCATTCGTTTGTTCGTTCTTTCATTTATTCATATTTATATTCATTCATTTGTTTATCTAACATCTAGCATCTATAACATTTGTCTATTTACTACAAAGTGTATTTACTTTTAACTCCATTTTACAAAATATTCTCCAACCTACTCAGCCAACTAGATGCATAAACTGTACGAATCTACTCTGTTTATGTACTACGAAATTTTCAGTTAATGTGTTGTCATGCTTGTCCTTATCGGGTTGTCATCTTGGTTTAGTTGCATTCGTCTGGACATTAGCATTGGTCATCGAGTAGAGAGCTAGATGTACATCATTTCCTCTTTCTTTTTGTTGCCGACCCTTCCACATGTTTTCAAAAAGCCATACTAAATATTTCTGCTCATGACTTAAAGCATTTTGTAT